GAAGCGGGGGGTTCCCAGAAGAGAATGGTCTCAGAAGGGGCAAAGCGGACCCGCTGCGATCACTGGGACTGGAGTCCCCTGAGGACTGTCTCCCCTCGGGGTCAGCAATGCACAGAGTTACAAGCAGGTATTTCCATGCGTGAAGATTCTGACTGCTCTGAGGACACTGCCTGCTGTGGGGTCCCCAGTCTAGGGCTCTCCTGAACCTTCTGGTACAGGATGAGGGAGATAAGGCACCTAACCTTGCATGGCTGCCCTGGGTGGGCACTTGGGTGGGTGCAGGCGCCCTCTTGTGGCTTCTCCTGTCTCTGCATGGACCCTCCTCGGGTCCCTGTGTTTAGAGGGGCTTCCTGTGCTTGGACCATTTCTCTGTCCCCAGCCTATATACCCTCTTCCCTATTCCCAGCCTTCCCAGCCTCCAGCCCAAGTCGGAAAAACTCAGTCACAGCTCTCTCACCTTTTCCTGCATAAATCTCAGAACACAGAGCTTGGGCCCCTTTGACCCTATCAGAGGGCACAGCCACGTGGAGATGTGTAGACATATCCTCTGGTTCAGATCGTCACTGCATCATTTAGAATCAATTGCACAGCCTTTGTGTGCCATAGCTTTCTCGCTTGAAAAATGAGATTAAAGACAGGACAATTTGTCTGTTAACAGCCTCACTATTATCCCTGTCCTGCCCGCCATTTTTTCAGAATGACTAGCCAGCAGGATTCCAGGTTCGAGTCAGCCAATGGGAGGCAGCAGAAACACCTTATTGCTTCTCCAATAGCAGCGGATTCAGAGTTTCAGTTCCATTTTGTAGCCACCTCCTCAGAATTTCCTCTGAATACGGCCTCAGGACAAGAGGCAGCTGTGATCATTGCTGGTGCTCTCCTGCACTTTGTGTAACTTCCACACTCTCTGAAAGCTGGAGGCAGCTTTCCCTAATCTGTATATTCCAACCCACCCAATGGGTTCCAGTACCGAATACTGTTAATCTAGGAGGGCTTCTTGGAGGAGGTGAGGGTGCTAGAATGATGGTAGGCCAAAAAAGCAGAAGGCTTCCAGTGTTGAGTAAGTCCACAGTGCCCATTTGGGCCTCGCCCTTCAGCTCACCTCTTCATAGTCTCCAGGGAGCTTGGAATCCTCACATTGCTGTTGCTTGGCAACCAGGAGCCACATCTCACGTTCTTTCCATCACCCTGGGCCCTCATCTCTGGCATGGGCTCTGCACTGCCCAGGTAGCAGGGGCCCCAGCTGGGGAAGCATCTTCTACCTGCTTCCCTTCTCAGCCAATCAGAGGCCTCGCAAAGACAACTGAGACTCTTGTGATGGCGGTAAGTCCACAGAAAGTGCCGGATGGATCTGGGGCAGGGCACAGACAACCTCCAGCCCAAGAGGATCCTCCCTTTTGTTCTCATCTGTGGAGTACCCTGGGGTTCAGTGTAGATGGAATGTAGTGCTGGCCCTAAGGGCTCACGGCCTAGTGCAAGAGACAGAGCGTACTCATTCTTGCAATGCACAGATGTTAGCATCTCTCTCATGCTGCCTGCTGGGCCAAAGACCTGCAAAGCCATGGCTCACCCTTGTGTGGGGAGGAGAGCAGATGCCGTGGTATCCAACTCACTCCTTAGCAGTCCCACTAAGCACCGAAGGCTACTTCCTCCAAACTCTGTTCCCTACCTGAGGGTTTTTCATGCCCCCAGAAGCAGCACTCAACTGCAGGGAGTGAGTGCAAAAAACCACCTTAATTCTCTCCCCTCAGCTGGGACAAGTCTAGGACGCGTGTCTCCCAGAGTTGCTGGACAGGACTGAGCTCAGGTGCCCAGGAGGTAAATGGCTCCATCACATAACACCTGCTGGCCATGTCCTTGTCTCTCATCCCCACCCTCCTGCTGCACTTGCTTGGAATCAGCTCCCAAATAAACCATTCAAATCCCTGTCCCATGTTGGCTTCTGAGAGACGCCAGAGTAACACAGGGAGGCTGATTTATTACAGGGAAACAAAGTTTATGAAACTCAAGCAATAACTAATTGTATGCAAAGCAGTGGCTGAACGAAGGGATGGGTGGGGGAGCTGTATGCCCAGGTGCAAGTAACGAGGGGGTGTGTTGTCTGTAAAAAAGTTAAAAGCAGTAATAAAGCTGGCTGAAAGCCAGTCTGCTTTTTATTATCACTATACACCAGCCATTATACTAAGTTTCAATGATAAATTCTCCTTCCCCGTGAGGCTGATGGCTCTTGTTGTCCCATAGCCACTCCCTGGCACCCCACTGATGCCAACTGCACTGAGGACGGAGAAATTGATTGTGGGCAGAGGGGATGGGGGAAGGCCTCACTCAGGAGGCAGCATTGATGCCCCAAACACACAGTACTGCCTGCATTTCACACCTCCATGCTTTGCATACGCTGGTTCTCTTTTACTGGGACACCTTTTGTTCCTCAATTCTCTCTCAATCTTCCATTACAGTTCACTGTAGTTGGGTGTTTCCTCCTCCAAGAAGCCCTCCCTGACCCCTAGCCTGAATTAAATTGCCTCCTCTGGGCTTGCACAGACCTCCAAGTGTGCCTATGTCATGACAGTCTTTACACTGGGCCACCTCTGTCTGCGAGGTTGTTTGTTTGTTTTATCACCAGACAGTGGGCTTCCCCATAGTCTACAGCTTGTTCAGTTGGGCCTGGCTTACAGCAGACACTTAGGGATGGGGCTGCCCCTGGGGCACCTTTGTGCAGTTCGCAGCCTGCCTCACCATCCATGGCAACACAGCGTATGGAGGGTTAGTGAACAAATGAATGGATGAATAGGTGGGATTTTTAATAACTGGGGAAGACATTTAAAGCAGAAGAGACAGAGCAAGGAAAAGCAGGGATGCTTGAAAAGTGCAGAGCTTCTCAATGGAAAGGCGAAACGGCTTTATGCCGCAGGAAATAGATCTCAGAAATCCACCAGCTTTAGCACCACCCAGAGTGTGGTCAACGTACCTGCACTCTATCTCAGACACTTAGCCAGACTCTCTGCAGATGGGGTTCAAAAATCTGGGTGTCCCAGAGAAACTCCAGGAACAAAAATGTGGAGTGGCATAGGGCCAGCTAACAAAGTGAGTGATGAACTGCAAAAGGGTGAGACTGGCCCAATTAAGTTGAGCCCACACCAAGAATTCATTCACTTAGCATTCGTTCGTTCATTCATTCATTCATTCAGTAAGTAAGTAGGAAGGCACTCAGGTATACCTGTGTGCAAAACAGATATGATCTCTGCTCCCTTTCCACAGTTCAGTGGGAAGACAGTCATTAAATACCTAAGGTCAGGTTACATTAAATTACCTAATTAATGCTTCACAGGAAAGAAAGCAGGGTAAGGAAGGGATTAAAGAATAGAAGAGGTGGGGCCTCTGGGTGGTTTGGTCTGTTAAGTGTCTGACTCTAGATTTCGGCTTTGGGTCATGATCTCATGGTTCGTGGGATTGAGCCCTGCTTGGCGCCCAGCACTGACAATGCACAGCCTGCTGTGGTTCTCTGTCTCCCCCTCTCTCTGCCCCTCCCTCGCTCTCATGCACACATGCACTCTCCTGCTCTCTCTCTCTCAAAATAAATAAACTTAAAAAAACAGAAGAGGTTATTTTGGATATAGCATCAGGGAAGCCATCCACTGAGGCCAGTAGGAGGTGAGAGGAGTCACTTAAAATGAAAGAGCAAACCATGCAGATGTTTGGGGAAAGAACATTCCAGGCAGAGACAACAGTACATGCAAAGACCTGGAGAACAGAACACGTGGAAGAGGGAACCTGGTTAGGAAGCAAATGCAATAGTCCAAGTATGAGATGCTAGGGGATCAGACCAGGGTGGAGACCGTGGAGGCTGTAGGAAGCGGTCAGATTCAGAATACATTTCAAGGTAAAGTTGACTAGCTTTGCTTCTGAATCAGATATGGGCGTGATAGGATGGAAGTCAAAGTTATTGCAGCCAAGAGTGCAGGGAATGAGAGGAGAGTTAGGATGATGTCAGAGGGAGGTAAGGGGTGGGGGCTGTGCAGACCATATGCAGGTTTCTGGAGACCGTAGGGAGGACATGACTTTCCCTGAGTGTGTTAGGAGCTCTCAGAGAGTTTGAAGCAGAGGAGGACTGTGATTTGACAGGTGTCCTAACAGAGTGTAGTTGCAGAGTGTAGAATTGACTTCAGGGAGACAGAGATGGACTAGGGCAGTTCAGAGGTTGGTGCAGACACCCAAGTGAGAGGCGATGGTGGCTCGCTATAGGGGGCTGACTGGAATGGGAAAACTGAATTTATTTGAGCAGAAACAGTAAGTGGATTTCGAGGATCTCGTTGAAGAATCAATAGGTGGTAAAAAATCACCGAGACGCAAGTGCGTCTTCTTGGAGGAAGCAGCTTCAATTCTCTGAGCTGGTTTTGTCATCTGCAAAACGGGATGATATCGGAACACACCTCGCAGAGCCGTCGAGAGGGGGATGTAGAGGTTTGGTACGGGATCTAGCACCCAATAAGCATTTAATAAACTTTATCCTCGGAGCCAGACTACTAGGTTCTAGTACCATCTCTGCCACTCATTGGCTGGCTGGGTCATGTTGTCCAAACTCACCCCTCGGTAAAAACGGGGCTGTTGTAAAAACCAACTGTATACGGTTGGGTCGCAAGGATTAAGTTAATGAAGACACGTAAGGCATTTATAATAACGTGGCACGTAGCAAGCATTGCCTAAGTGCCAACTATTATTATTCATATATTTTAGCCATAGTTCATAAACTCTTCCTCCACCAGCATTCTGAGGATGGGAAATCTGTGGCCCAGAACAAGGTAGCCTCTCCTCAAGGACCCCTAGGATCCTGCGAGGGGCGGTCTCTCCAGCCACCTGGAAAAAAGGAGACGCCTGCTTTAAAGGGCCGTGCCCCGCCCCGCCTGCGAGCTGTGTGGCGGAACGTTTAAGCGCCGCGCTCAGGTTTCCAGTCGGCGCGCCTGCACAACTGGGCACGCGCTCTGAGTCACTTCCGGCGGCCGCGTTCCGCCCCCGGGGCGGCTCCATTTTGGCCGCAGGTGAGGACTAGGTCTAGGCAGGCGGAATAGCGGAGCGGAGCCCTCCGTGCTCTGAGGGCCGGGCCGGCTCACGGCACACTCTCTCCCTTCCTTCCTCTGCCTGCGGAAGTCGGGGGAGCGCATGGCGGGCTTGGAGGTACTGTTCGCGGCGGCGGCGCCGGCCATCACTTGCGGACAGGACGCGCTCGTCTGTTTCCTGCACTGGGAGGTGGTGACGCACGGCTACTACGGCTTGGGTGTCGGCGACCAGGTACTCCAGAGAGGCTTCGCGGGCCCGGGGTGGTGGTCGTAAGGGGTCTTCTGCCCAGATCCGAGGACCGGAGCTCTGGTCCAGAGCGCCTGCCGCTCCTCTCCCCGCCGGCGTCCCGGCCCTGGGGTTCCTGGAACCTTCGGTATAGTCAGCTGGTCGGGGAGCTCCTCTGCTGTCTCAGCCCAGCGCCCCTCGCAGCACCGCTGGGACATGGTTTGGAAACCCCAGGACAGAAGCTCGCTTCGGCATAGCCTGGCGGTCTCCCAGGCCAGGATCTTGCGGGCCTTGACACCGAGGCAGGGGCGGAGCTCCCTGGAGCAGCCCTCCTTCCCGTGTAGCGGCGGGGGGTGGGGAGGGGGGCTGTTGTCAATATTGCGCTCGGGCCTCCACCAGATAGCTGAGTGCAAGCACGTTTATAGGGGTGGGATTTGAGCTACTACTCAGCCCCAATCGGAGACCCTTTCCACGCCCCCTGGGCACGGGCCCAGAGAGCACCCACACCCTTATCCTTTCACCCAAGGGCCGTGTGCAGTGTGCCCACTGCTATCATCCCTAGCTCAGGTTCCGGAAAACAGCCCCCCCCACCCCCCCCAACACACACACAGGTACACACTTGCACCCTGCATGGGAGGGCTAGGTAAGGTTATCTCCTGGACAGCTGCCCTAGAGGTTCAGCCCCTCCTGCTCGCAGGCCCTCCGTCTTTGAGCATAGGAGCTGGGGGCCTTGCCCTCACACCCACAGCCCCAGGATTGCTGGGCCCAAGCTGCTGCATAAGTCTTTGCTGGGGCCTTTGTTCACTTTCTCCGCCCCTTCCCTGTGGCTTTCACTCTCCTCCTCATCCTGCACCTTAGCTTCCTGGGAGCACTGGGCCTGGCCCCCTTTCTGCTCCTTCAGTTCCCTTCTACTTGGTCAGAGAAGATCTCCTCCCAGCCACACTCCCCCCATACAGGTAGGGTTCCAAGCTTGCCCCTTACTGTTATGTTTCTTCTCACCTTCATGCGGGGAGCCGCACTGGCTTCTCTGGATGGCAGTCACAGCAAGGAAATGGCAATGTTTGCACAGCTCCTGCCATGAAAAACAAAACTGGTATCTCCTCCTGCTACTGCTGGCTCATGTTGGAAATAAGCCTGCTGGTATTGACCAGGCCTCACAATATTCCTTACCAGACCCATATTCTGAACACAGATACCTCATAAGGAAAAGCATATTCCTGCCTTTACAAAAGAGATTTTATTTTATTTTTTTTTAATATTTTTATTTATTTCTGAGAGAGAGAGGCACCGTGAGCAGGAGAGGGTCAGAGAGAGAGGGAGATACAGAATCTGAAGCAGGCTCCAGGCTCGAGCTAGCTGTCAGCACAGAGCCCGACGTGGGGCTCGATCCCACAAACCGTGAGATCATGACCTGAACTGAAGTCGGACACTTAACCGACTGAGCCACCCAGGCGCCCCTCAAAAGAGATTTTAGACAAAAGCTCTATGGATCATTGTCAAAAGGCTCTTTCTATGGGTCTTGCAGATCCAAGACTTAGATAATAAAGGGGGGCTAAGAAAACAAGAGTACAATTGAGTCTGGTCCCATGTCAGAAGAACCTAATTTATAGTTACTTACTAGCTGGTGATGTATGGTGAGTCCCTTCCTCAAGGCCTACACTCACAAACATCCTCCCTTACACTGGCAGCTGGGATGAGGACAGATAAGAGTAATTAAAACATAAACCCAGATGCAAAGACTGATACATATAGAGCCCCCTTTGGCAGTTTCCACAAACAAACCAATTCAGAAACATTCATCCTCTTGAGAGCCAGACAGAATAACTCCTAGCTTATCTATATACAACTTAACCTATATGTTATCCTGTTTTCCACTAAGAGCATCCTGTTATTTCCTTGGTCATAAATTCACTATGACCGGGATATTCATCCTCTTGAGATCCAGACACAATGATTCCTAGCTTATCTATATACAACTTAACCTATATGTTATCCTGTTTTTTAAGAGCATCCTGTAATTTCCTTGGTCGTAAATTCACTATGATTGGGATAATTCTGTAGTTGTCACCGCAAAAGACCTTTCATTGTAAAAGAATTCCTTTTTCTGACCTCATATTGTTTTTGAACCTTTAAATAAAGTCACCAAAACCGACAAGACAGAGATGCCTGCCTGGTGATCAGAAAGAATCTCGGGGCTCGCTCGCTCGCTCTCTCTCTCTCTCTCTCTCTCTCTCGCCGACACTGTCCATCCTTCAGGGACCCCTGGACCTGCCAGAGCCGGCTCGGCCTCCAGCACCCTCAGAACCTACATCAGCTCTGGGGAGCAGGGCACCGCACCCCTTACTTCTCTCTTTTTTTTTCCTTAATTTTTAATGGTTTACTTATTTCTGAGAGAGAGAGAGACAGTGTGAGCAGGGGAGGTTCAGAGAGAGAGGGAGACCCAGAATCTGAAGCAGGCTCCAGGCTCTGAGCTAGCTATCAGCACAGAGCCCAGTGGCGGGGCTTGAACCCACGAACCGTGAGATCATGACCTGAGCCGAAGTAGGACGCTCAACCAACTGAGCCAGCCAGGTGCCCCACCCCTTGCTTCTCTTACGGTGAGATTTTTCACCTTATTCTCCTATCCGATGGCTTTAGTTCTCAAACTCCCTCCTCCTCAGTTTCTCACACAGGCATCCCGCATCTCAGGTTTTCCTGTCCCGACACAGAGCTCTAGGGATCCCTCCTTAAATACAGTTTACACGCCTTGAGCACTGAGCCACCTTGAGATGGAAGCATCCCCCTTCCACTCCCTGCTGCCCCGCTCCACTGTCATTTAGAGCAGTGAGCAAAACCACTGCCCCGGCACACACTTCACGCCCCCCCACCGGGAGTCAGATTAGAAGCACAAGAACTGTCACGGATGTCTGGCTTTTTTTTCCTCCTAGACTTCAAGTAGCTCCCAGGGACCCCAGATACACACTTAGCGTCCCCCATCCCCTCCGCCTTCCAGCCTCGCACACACTTGGATGTAAGACTGGAAAAGAAGGGGCAGCCTCACACACACACTTGGAAGCAGACACCGTGTTTTCCTCCCAGGCAGCTCTGTTCTTGGCCTTTCTGTCCATCTTGCACTTCACTTCCTTGCCTTTCAGCATTTCAGGCCTTTGGAGCAGGTAAAGATGGCATCCCCCCAAGTGCCAGGCCACCCCCTTCTGGTGCATAGTGTCCAGAAACTTCCGGTGTCCCCAGGAGAAACTGTGTTTCCTCACTTGCCTCACTTCACCTTCCTGATCTTGAATGGCCCTTGCACTTGCCCGGTCATGTCATCTCAGCGTGGCCTGGGAAGTCCGGGCAGCTGCTGTAGAGGATGGTGCTGAGTGCAGTGGGATTAGAGAGCGGAGGGGAGGAGCACTTATTTGGTCCCGTCCTTGGGGCTCCTCTGTGGGCCCTTTGTTCCCCCAACCACTTGCCCTGTCCCTCAGCTCTAACAGGTCTGCCTTGCTCTCTGTCCCTCTGCATGGCCCTCACCTTATTCACCCCCAGCTCGCTACTTCTGCTCTGGCCATCCGAATCTGTCCCCACAGAACAGGAACTGGTTACATAGGGCCTGTGTGACTCCCTTCACTTCTCCCCATTTCACAGGGACACCTCGACACTGCAGATCTGCCCCCAGCACGTGTCCCTTCACACACCCATCCACAGCTCTGTCTCAGTTGCTTCGACAGCTTAGGGACATCAGTTCCTATAGGTCATTGACTCCTTCGGTGGCATCCCCTTGCCCAATTTCCAAGTGAACTGTGCAGAAAGAATACGACCTCATCTTAATGCTGCTTTAAAAAGCAGAAAAGGTCCTTGGCTGATCCTAAAAGTCCATCTAAGTCCACTCTGTCCATGGGGCCACGTGTTGAGTTTATGCAGGCCAGAAAACTGCCAGCCCCACATGTGTTAGGAAGGCCAGGGAGGCTGGGAGGTGAGGGTTGTGAAAGGCAGTGCCTGCTGCCCCTGGCCCCCCGCCCCCCTCCCAGTGCTAAGTCATGCGTGCCCTCTGAGGGTGGTGTTTGTCTCACTCACTGGTGTGTCTCTCTGCTTCTGTGCCCTTTCTCACAAGTGCTGCTGAAGCTCAGCTTGCACTTACCCTCTCTGACCTCTGCTGAGTCAGTGTCCACCGGCGGGGGCTGGGGGGGTGGTGGTGGAAGCCCTGTAGAGAGGCATCCTTCCTATTCATTCATTTTTTTTTTTTTTTTTTTTCTAGGAAAGAGAGAGAGAGAGCGTGAGCAGGGGAGGGCCAGAGAGAGAGGGAGTCACAGACTGAAACAGGCTCCAGGCTCTGAGCTGGCAGTCAGCACAGAGCCCGACGCGGGGCTCGAACCCACGAACCGCGAAATCATGAGCTAAGCGAAAGTCGGACGCTTAACCGACTAATCCACCCAGGCGCGCCTCCTATTCGTTCATTTAAAAGAAAGTTTGATTTTCTACCTTGGGACCAGCAGACTCAGCCGAGCCCAGCGGTGTTTGCCGCACTCGGAGGATGTTTATGTTGTCTCTCCAGCCACCTGCTGCTCCCCACCCTCATAAGGGTGACAAGAGAGGAAGGTCCTGAAAGTGTGTGCATGATCATTAGCGTATCGACAGTCAGATACAAAGTTAAACTGTCTGTTTTCCTCTTTAGTTTTATCTCCTCTTGTTCAGGGAAATTGTGTATGTGAAACTTGGTTAGAGGGGCAGTGAAGCCATTGGCTTCGATAAAAATTCACTGTTTGAATTTGGAGTACTTTCTCGAAGTGAGTACCACGCCTCCTAGGAGCTCTACAGAGGTGTCATGTGGGTTAGGTAGCCAGGGGCTGGAGATGGTCATAGATACAAGTCGGAGAATCCTGTTTCCTCTTGGAAGAATCTAAAGATTTTGACGAGAGAAAATGCCCACGGTGTGTTTCTTTGGGTGGATTTCAGCCTGGAGACACTGGAATGAACTCACGGTCACTGAGGATTTTGCCTAAGTGGACAACTGTCTTTACTTTCTTGGGGCCAGTCTGGTGGACCTGGCTGGGAAAATCTTCAGCCATAGACCAAGCAAGTGGGAGTTCTGAAGGCCAAACCCAGCCGTGCTCCTGACTTACTGTGACCTTGGGCCCTTCTCAGCCCCTCTCAGTCCTTAAATTTTTCACCCTTGGGCGGTAAACCACACAGCCATGCACCCTGGCTCCTTCCCAGCTGCGGCTTTCTGGGGGGCTCTGATACTGATGTCAGCACCTAGAAGGCACTTGAATGCCATCTTTGGCCCAATATCACCAGGGCCAGTCCCTCTTAATCCCACCAGTTTTTCCCCGTTATCAGGGCAGCCTTTGGGCTGGGACCATCGTTCCCCTGCAGTGAGAGGCGTCAGCCTCACATGACCCCAGCGTTCCCTCTTGCCCTAGAAGCCAGAGTCTGTGGGAGAGTGAGCCTACTGAATTCCCTCTACAGCGAGGAAGAATTCTGGTGGCTTACATGCCGAGTGTGGAGAGTATAAATGTAAATTCAGAGGCCTCCGGCAGAACAGAGACGAGGCTCATTGTCAAATTCTTGGCTTCCAGAGGAAACCTTAAATCCAGGGCACTCAACCTGTTACAGGAAATGTGCCCGCTTGGACTTGGACGTGGGGAATTGTTTCTCTTTCTCACTTAGGGGACTGGTTTGATTCGTTTCACTTTTGTTTTTGTCACTTTCATTTCTTTGCTTCAGGCCTGTGAGTCTCCTTGTCATCCGGCCAGCTTTTAAACCATGCCAGCTGCAACATCTTGAATTGTGTTTGGGACCCAGAGAGGAGAGGCCCACGATTCTGGGCCTCTGACCTGCCGTTGTCCTTGGTGTGTGCGAGGGCTGCGGTGCCTGCCTTTGTGTTTTGCTGTCATTCATCTTTGGTCCAGCTTCTCCCCCTATATTCTGAGCACAGAGCTTCCCGGCCCGCTCGCTTGTGTTTAGCCGTGTAAATAGGTGTCCGTGAAAAAAGTATATAGATTGCTTTTGTGTTTTAAAAATTTTCTGCATGAATGATACCCAGCTGTAAATCTCAATTTTTTTCTAAAGTTTTAAGAAAAATTTAAGTTATATTTTTGACTATCTGTATGTGGCTACAGTTTGATCCAGTTTGATTCTTGTAACTCCTATATAGTACTCCGCTGTGATCGTGTCTTCATTTCACCTCCGCTTTGGTGCTCACAACGAGATTGTGGCGAAGATCTCTTATCACGTCCCCTGTGCTTTTGTGCACAGGGGGGTTTCTTCCAGGAAGAGAGGGTTGGGGTTAGAGGCTGTCAGCTTACCTACTTGCACCAAATACTGACAGATTGCTTTCCGGAGGGGTCATAGGAGTGTGGAGGGCCACCAGCAGTGTCTGAAGTTCCCCATTCTCCCCACACCTGCATGAACACCGGGCAAAAAAGAAAAAAAAAAAAAAAGGATAATACCAGTCTGATGGTTGTAACCTAGAATCTCAGTATTTCCACCTGTGCTGCTCTGGATGCTGGTAACTTTTTTAACAACGCTTTGTATACTGTTACCTGCTCTGTCTTTTGCTTGCTCATATCTTTTGCCAAGTTTTCAAGTTCCCAATTTTTATTGTTCATTTTCCAGGCTTTCCCTTAATGTGCTACTTATTAACCCCTTTCCGTTTGCAGGTGTGGCAGATCCCCCGTCCTGGCCTGCGGCTGCCTGTGGGGTGTCTATTGTCCCGTGGAGGCTTACATTTGGAACAGTCTCAGAGACAGGCCCTTTTCTCTTTGGTGGATCTCAAGAAATCTCTCCCCACCTGTAAATCACTCTGTTACTTTTTACTGTAGAAACAGTTTAGGGGCACCTGGGTGGCTCAGTTTCATTAAGTGTCTGGCTCTTGATTTTGGTTCAGGTCATGATTTCCCAGTTTCTGAGATCGAGATCCGAGTCGGGCTCTGCACGGAGTGTGGGGTCTGCTTGAGATTTTCTCTCTCTCTCTCTCTCTCTCTCTGCCTCTTCCACTGCTCGCACATGTGCATACAAGTGAGCACTCTCTTTCTCTTAAAATAAACATTAAAAAAAAAAAAAAAAAAAGCGCAGGGGCACCTGGGTGGCTCAGTTGGTTAGGCATCTGACTCTTGATTTCAGCTCAGGTCATGATCTCACAACTCCTGAGTTAGAGCCCCATGGTGGGCTCTGCGCTGACAGCACGGAGCCTGCCTGGGATTCTCTGTCTCCATCTCTCTCTCTGCCCCTCCCCTGCTTGTGCTTTCTCTGTCTCAAAAATAAATAAACTTAAAAAAAAAAGCTTAGTGTTTAAGAAAAATAGTTTAAAAACTATTTCTCAAACTTTAATGTGTAAAAGGAAAGTCCTAGGACTATTGGAAAAGGAAAAGAAGATGTCACAACTCACAGTGATACACCACCCAGTTGGCGGAAATATTTAAATTGGACAGTGACCGTGTTGCTGACCACGTGGAACTAGCAGAACTCCTGTGTTGTTGGGGGAAGTGTAAATCAGCACGTCTTGGAAAACAGTTTGACTTTATCTTATAAATTAGAAGTTCTTTTCCCGCACATCCTCTATAGAAGTTCATCCCCCTGTGTATGAGGACACGTGTATGCAGATGTTCACGGCAGCATCGTTTATAACCGCCAACCTGCGCGCGGTCCAAATATCCATCCACAAGTGAACGTGTTCCTCGTGGCACGTTCCCGCACCACCACACCGTGTACAGCGTGAACTGTCCGGCAGCGGAGCGCCGTGTAGTGGATTGGATATGGTTAAACGCTTTGGCCCAGATAAATCTCAAAAAACAATATCAAACAAAGAAGTGATAATGGTGATGCCGTTGATAAAAGTTCAAAAACATTTGAAGTGACATAATTTTAGGGTCGCATGTGTAGTAATAACAACTGGAAGGAAAAGTAACGGAATTTTTAAAATACAGAGCAGGGGCTACCTGGGAGGGGTCAGGAGAGAGGTTCACTGGGAGTGCCCTGCCCCAGGCTTCGGCGGCAGTGGTGCGGACGTAGGTGTCCGCTTGACCGTGTTTTATCTTGTACATTAGCTGCATTCTGCGTGTGTATGGAAATTGCTCATCATTTTTGTTAAACCACTACATCGCCTGGAGGAGAATACACTAGGATCTTTATTTTTAGCTCACATTTTGGTGATCCTATTGGAGATGGTCCCGGTTCTGAACTTTGAGAAATACTGCCTTGGAATTTCATAGTATCCCTTCAGGAGATTGGCCTTATTCTTGGGAGGGAGGTGGAGAGGACATTCTTAGTAAAGCTAAGGCTGCAGATTCTGTCCAGGTCCCAGTATTGTGTCATCAAGGCAGGGAGCGCTAGAGCATGAGCCCAGAAGTCTAGGTCCCAGGCTTCTAGCTTGGACCTTCTACTTCTCTTGACCTCCATGTCCTTATCTGTGAAGTAAGGACTTGGGAGGGAGTGGGACTAGATTACCTGCAAAGTCCTTCCCAGCTCTGTGTTCCGAGGTCATCTTCCTCCTCTCAACCCTCATGTCTTCTCAGCCGGGTCCCAACGACAGGAAGTCAGAACTGCTGCCAGCCGAATGGAACAGCAATAAAGATCTGTATGTCCTCCGCTATGAGTCTAAGGATGGGTCCCGAAAGCTTCTCGTGAAGGCTGTCACCGTGGAGAACAGCATGATCATCAATGTGCTGGTGAGTCCCGGGGACAGGTTGGCATCCGGTGGTGGGAGCAGATGTGATCACCTTTGTGTGGCCCGTTTAGCAGTGCAGATGGGAGGCCTCCACCCAGTGATCCTTTTGGAACTGAGGCAGGAACGCTCAGTATAGAAACGCTTTGTGCTCAAAGATGTTTACCTTCCGGTATGATCAAGGGAGGGACTTTTCCATCACTGGGGAATGATTATGTACGTTAGGATAAATCCTTTCAGTGACAGCCCAGGAGGAAAAACACTTATTGTAGGCCCAGGGGGCTACGTTCAGTTCTTTCCATAAGCCTAGCTCCCTGCTCTCCTGGAGCCCTTACATTTCTTACTTCCAAGGATGGAAAACTCTTCCCCTCCACTGTGGGCTACCTGACACTCCCCCCCCCCCCCCCCCCCCCCCCCCCCCCCCCCCCCCCCCCCCCCCCCGCCGCCTCCACCCTTAGCACCTGCTGACTCCCTCCCGTTTTTTACTTCCTCAAAAAGTGCAGTCCTGACTACCTGCTCATATCTGTCAGAAAAATGTAAATTATGCCTCTCTACTTCATCATTTTATTCCTTGCCCGGTACCTACCACAGTTTGTAGTTAGGTATTTGTTTGTCCTTTGGTTTAATGTTTGTATTCTGCTCCTGGACTGTACACACCACAGGGGCAGGGAACTCTCTCGCTGACTTCGTCCTGGTGGTCCCCGTGGGCTCGGGGAAAGGTACCGTGCAGTGTGTACTGCACTGTGCCTTGCTTTTTTCACTCTGGTATTTTGGAGGTCTTTACGTGGGAATGTGTGTAGATACACTCTATTCATTTTAACTACTAGATGGTCTGTAATAACTATAATGTATCCCTTTCTGTTTTGATGAACATTTAGATCTTGTATCAGACAGAGTTCTTAGTTACAAACAACAAAACTCCCTTAGGTTAGTTTAAACGGATTGGGTCTATTAAAAGAAGTGGAATGGCTCATTGAATTATTGGAAAGGCTAGAGAAACATGCTTAAGGCCTGGCTTTCAAAACAGTCCCTGAAAACCAGGCCATAGATGCCGCTGCTACTGCCGCTGCCCCAGACACAGGGTGCCGGCAGATGCCGCAGGCTCTGGGTGCCGTCTCATGAGCCATTGGCCCCTCTGCTGCTTCCCTCTTTAGCAAGGTGGCCACCCCTGGCTTTCCCGTGCTGCCGGCCGCCAGGTCAGAGATGTGCATCCATTTGGCACCTCCGTCACATGCCTGTGTCCCAGCTACAAAAGAGCCCAGGAAGTAGGTTTATTGGGCTCTGCCTTAGAAAGGCAGTATTCCTAAATCAGAGAAGTCCCCAAGCATTGGAAGGGTATTTTACATATTACAGACATTCCCGATATGTTTCTTTGTTCATGTATATTTCTTTAGATTGAGTATTTAATTGTTGTTCTCCACCCACCCACCCATTAGCCCAGATATATCCCCAGTCTTTCTGTTTTCATTTTTCTAGGAATGTGGCTCACAGCAGGTATCAGATTTGACACTGAACTTGGATGATTATATCGATTCAGAACACCTGGGTGACTTCCACAGGTACTTCTAAGCGATGGCTTTTCCCTGGGAACAAGAAGAGAGAAACAGTGGAATAGGGTGGAGAGGTCCAGAGAGTCCCGAAAGGTTCATAGAACGATCTTCATCTCCTGGGCACAGGCACTTCTCAGTTCTCTCTTCTGTGTGTAATATATTTTAAGAGAAGATTCACATGGGAAATGCCATGTGAAGTAAAGTGACACAGTCAGAAGTCCACAAGTGCTCCAGTGTGGCCACGGGAAGGCTGTGCGGTCAGGCCAGTGGGGTCAGTCAGAAGAGGCTCCTGGAGAAAAGGTGTGCCTCATTGGATCTCCACTTCCAACTTTGTTTTCTTTTGAATGGACTTTCTTTTTTATAGCAGTTGGAGGTTCACAGCAAAATCGAACAGCAAGGGCATAGGGTTTGCCATGAACACCTCCCTCCACCCACCCCACATGGCCTCCTCCTCCATCGGCACCCAGCCCCAGAGTGTACATTTGTGGTAGCGGAAGAACCTGCCTCAGTGCACATCCTCCCCAGACTCCACCCTTTACATTCAGGCTCGCTCTGGCCGTGCTGGGGTATGTTGGCCTCTGTAAGGAGCTTCCACAGTGGCAGTGCCGTTCCGTGTTCCCACCGGCAGCACGTGAGAATCCCCGTCGCTCCGTGTCCTTGTAAGCCTTTGGTGGCGTTGGTTTTGCAGATCTGGCCATGCTGCTAGGTGTGTGGTGGCATCTTGTTTAACCTATGGTTCCCAGATGACATAGGTGCGACCGTCTTCCCATGTGCTTGTTTGCCGTCTGCGTATTGTCTTTGGTGAGGTGTTCGTTCAGCTCTTCGGCCCATTTTTTAATTGGTCTCTTCTCTTACTGTTGAGGTTTAAGAGTTCTTTGTGTATGTTGGGTACATTCTTTTATCGTATGTGTGTTCTACAGATATTTTCTCCCAGTCTGGCTTATTTTCTCATTCTCTTGACATTTTATTTTGAAATTTGCCGAAAAGGTGGTTTGCAAAAATTTTAGAATGAATGCTCGCATACCTATCATTTGTATTTATGAGTTTTTAACATTTTGCCACGTTTGCTTAGTGTTTTTGTGTGCTGTTGTGTTCTTGAACCACCTGAGAATTATTTCCACGCTTTGCGAACCTTCACCCCTAAGCTCAAGCAATATCTCCTTATTCATACTAGAGCACCTCCTCTGTAACCTTAGTACAGTTCTCACACTCTGGAAATGTGGTGTGGATCTACAGCTGTCATTTACTACACAGGCTGTTGATATTTCTGCGGTCGTGCCGGCAGTATCCTTTTTAACTAGTCTTTAGGTGGGCCACCTGGGTGGCTCAGTTGATTGAGTGTCCAACTTAGGCTTAGGTCATGATCTCATGGTTCGTGAGTTCAAGCCCCGCGTCGGGCTCTATGCTGGCAGCTCAGAGCCTGGAGCCTGTTTCCGATTCTTTGTGTTCCGCTTTCTCTGCCCTCTCTCCAGCTCGCACTCTGTCTCTCTTTCAAAAAATAAACATTAAAAAAAAATTTAACTAGTCTTTTGGCTTTTCAGTTTGAGGGTTTTTTCTTACCCAACCAAACGTCACATATTGCATTTATTTTCATGACTCTTTAATTACTTTTAATCCAGAACAGTTTCCTAGATGTTTGTTTTCCATGGCTTTGACATTTTTGAAGACTCGAGTTCAGCTGTTGTGTAGCATGTTCAGATTGTTTCCTTGTGATCGGATTTATTAGGTTATTTCCTCCTCATTTGATTCCGCTTGAACATTTTTGATAAGTGCGCAGCGTAGATGATGTGCTCTCGGGGCTTTACGTCAGGCACAGACGTCTGTCCTGTTGACGTGGTTCATTTTGATGACTTGGTTGGGACAGTGTGTGCCGGCTCTCTTTATAGTGAAGGTGTCAGTGTTCCATTGTGCTTAGTCCATGACCTGCAGGAATAGGCTAGCAGGCCACAGTATTCTGCTTCCGATGGTCTTTCACCTGGTAGTTGGGCATCTAGTGATGATTCTCGCCGGAGTCCATGACTACAGTGATGTTTGTAAGTCATTTTCTTTTTTTTTATGTTTTTTATTTATTTTTGAGAGTCAGAGAGAGACTGCGCAAGCAGGGGAGGGTCAGAGAGAGAGGGAGACACAGAATCCCAAGACAGCCTCCAGGTTCTGAGTTGTCAGCACAGAGCCCGACACGGGGCTTGAACCCAAGAACCGTGAGATCATGACCTGAGCCAAAGTCGGACACTTAACCAACTGAGCCACCCAGGTGCCCCTAGTCATTTTCTATTCGAATCATTCTTTCCACATTTATCAGCATTTTTTTCTAAAAAAGAGTTTTCTCTTCTCCCTGTCCCCTTTGTTTTTATTTCTTTTAAATACCAGTGTAGACTTAAGGGGCTCTTTTTTGTTTGGAATCATGGTCCATTCCTGTCATTCTTTGGATGCGTAAGTTGTTCCGGAGCTGACCTGTGGGGACCTTCATGCTGCCTCTTTGTCCTTGTGACGTCCCCGTCATTCTCAAAGAGTTGCACACTTTCTGGCACGATAAGGTATCCCAGCCTCCCCTTGCAATCTCTGTGCCCCTGCCTTGAAATGAGCTGGTTTTCTGAGGAGCCGTGATTTCTGTGAGTGGAGAATCATATTCAGAAACCAGAATCTAGGCCCTGAATGTGCTTGTTAATACAAGGGTACCCTTGCGTCCAGGCCCTTTAGATGACTAGAGCTTGGAAGCTTTTTCCTTAAAGTCTTTTCTTAAATTTTAAACCAGTGCTTTCATTTTTAATCTTAACACCAAGGGTTTCTTACTCTCTTATTCTGACCAGTATCTCCTTCTGTGGTGTGGACCCTGATTTCCAGCAGCAGCAGCAGCAGCGCTTTTACTCTTTTGTTTGATCCTAAAGCACACGCGTAGTTTCTGAACTGCTGCATCAATACCAATGAAGAACACGTTAACCAAGCAAAGTTCCAAATACGATGTCTTTCCAGTTCTTTTGTCCTTCAGCTGTGTCCCACTGAGGATGTTATAGTCAGAGTTTTATGTTCAAAATGTACTTAGATTAGTGCTTCCTTTTCCATGAATGTGATGACACTGTCGAATACATAAGCCTAATTATTTCCGCTTTATTCCATGTTAGGGACCTCGTTGCCATCCTCCTCAGGCTTCTTGGTTAGAGGACGCCCAACACAGTCCCCAGAGCTTCCTAGAAACCCTGTTGTATTTTTTTTTAATGTTTGTTTATTTTTGAGAGAGAGAGAGAAACAGACCTTCATCTGAAGCACCTGCAGGCTCCAAGCTGTCGGCACAGAGCCCGATACAGGCTCTCACGAACCGCGAGATCATGACCTGAGCCAAAGTCGGACACTTAACCGACTGAGCCCCCCAGGCGCCCCTGGGTTGTATTTTATTATATCTAACCCACCCCACTCCTCTCAGACTTCCACACCACCTGCCTCCATCATCGTCTCTGCCCCTCTTCCCTGCAGCCTTGACGTGAGGAGACGCCTACTGCTATTCCGCCCACCACCCTTCAGTCGATTTCCCAGGAGTCGGACCAGCCTTTTTAGAACAGAGATAATAAGATCCTGGTTAAAAACCTTGCTTGAAATCCTTCAGTGATACCATTGCACTCATATTAGGATGGCTACTATCAAAAAAAGAAAGAACCCAGAAAATAACCAGTGTTGGCCAGGAGGTGGAGAGATTGGAACCCTTGTGCACTGCTGGTGAGAACATAAAATGGTGCAGCTGCTGTGGAAAACAGTGTGTGGTTCCTGGCAAAATCAGATCACTGTATGATGCGGCGGTTCTCCTTCTGGGTAGAACCAGAACTGTTGAGCGCAGAGTCCAGAATAGCCGTTTGTACACACAGGTTCAGGGAAGCACTACGATGGCAGCAGAAGGCGGAAGCCATGTAGGTATTCGCGGACAGCCAGAACAGATGCGTGGATACGCAAAGTGCGGTGCGTGCGTGCAGTGTGGCCAGTGCTACATCTGTTCAGCTTTAAAAAGGAAGGAAAAGTTGACATCTGCTCCAGCATGGACTAACCTTGAAGGTTTTACGCTGAGCAGTATAAGCCACCCACAGGCAGACAAACCCTGTATGATTCCACTTAGGTGAGGTACCTCTAGTAGATCCACAGAGACAAAGTCAAGTAGTGGATGCCAGGGCCCGGGAAAGTGGGGAGTGGGGAGTTCTGGTTTAATGGGGACCAAGTTTCGGTTTTGCAAGATGAAGAGTTCTGGAGATGGATAGCGGTGGTGATTGCGCAATAATGTGAATACACCACTGAAATGTATGCTTAAAAATGGTTACGATGGGAAACTTTGTGTGTTTTCTCACAATTAAAAATTCTTGTTAATCTGGAAGATACCCAAAACCCTTTGGTGACTGTTGGTTGCTCTTAGAATAAAGAACAAAATCCTTGTTGAGGCCTAAAGCCTAACCCCTGTCCCAGACTCCTTCCCCCTGGTTCTTGTGCCTGGGCCTCCATGCCCTGCTCACTGTCCCCTGTGCAGAGCCCTTCCCCATGCCTGAAGCGCTGTCCCCAGGTCCTCAGAGCAGCGTCTCCTGCCCCCCACCACGACTGAACTTTCGAAACACCCTTTTCAGCATTTCCTAAGCAGGTGTTCTCTGATCAGAGTCATGCTTCCCCCTGGCTGTGATCTCCTTGGGGGCAGGGCCTGGTCTGTTTTGCATGAGGTGGATAATGGCATCGAAGAAGGAAGCGAGGCCAGCCCGGAGCTGCTGTTCAGCGTGCCCCTCACACCCCAACGTGGCTGAGGGAAGGGCGGGGAGTCTTTCCCTTGATTCTTCATTCTGGAATTCCATGGCGAGAGAAGGTGGAAGAGCCTGGGGCGCGTACGAGGCTGCTCACACTCCTTTCGTACTCAGCCCTGAGCAGTGCTGGGAGAAGAAGTGACTGAGTCTCCATTTCGTTTTTGTGAATGCTCTTTTGTTTGGACTTCATCTGGGGGACTCTTTTGTTTCGTTTTTTGGTTACTGTGCGATGAGGGACCCACG